GTACTATTTTAAGGAGTACTATTTTCAGAATACTTTAATAATAAAACAATAACTCTATAACATCGGAATTACGACTAGTGGTTCTCAAAATATATCAAACAATAATTTTGGAACATAAATGCTTTGGCGGAATATAGTTAACCAAACCTTTTTTTTTAATTCGACCAAAACGATGTACACACACTTAAACTGTGTATACCTACTACCAGCTACTAAGGATAATAGTTCCAGAATTTATTTTATAATATTGGTAAAAATGATCCAAGTATGATTATTTATTATTGTTATTAGAGCAAGAACTTTCATGCACTAAAAAATCGTCAAATATGCAATTAGGCAACAAAAAATTAAAATATCATCTCTCTAAAAGTTTTAATTAGATTTATTTTACTTATTAGTTAAAATTRGTCCCTATTTTCTCTATGAGCAATCTATAGACACTTCTGTCCCTGATTCATGAAAAATATTCACCGAAATACGCGTTTTTCGAAAAATCTCCAAAATATGCACTAAAAAATATAAAAATATGAACTAAAAATGTTGAGCTTTTGGCCAGAAACGTTGTGAAATGTCTATTGTGTATTTATTTTGCATACGGTAAAGTTAATCGGAAATAAAATATGCGAATGCATGAGATAAGTCGTTGCTCGAATTATTAYCTACAGATTAAAATATATTATCTATTTTATAGGGCTATATAGGTAATATTGTCTTTAAAATTTAAATACCAAYAATTAAGAATTTTATTGAGTACTACCATTATTTCACGAAAAAATGAGGGTGAGTAACGATGAGCATACTTTACGAATGACTCTGTATGTAGATACTATTTTAATATGAGAATAAGTGCGATATGACGTGATGGCGATTTCGGTCGAAACGTGTGTCATTTTTTCGCTCATATATTATAATATTTTCGCCGATTAAATCGCTCACACTACACGTCACATAGCATAATATAGTTAGTGTATTATGGTACGATGTATAAACCACAAACTACGCGTTTTGGGTTGGTCGGCCGGCCGTGAATTCGACACGAAACTTAAAAAACGCGTGCCGATAAAAAACAAAAGATAGTCACCGACCGCCGAGTACGCACGCGCACAATATATAACAAAATAATAATAATATTTTATTTTAGCATTTCTTGTTCACTGTCGCGAGATAGAAAATCCGAACGCATTTTCACACGCGTTCTCGCCGGCACGAACGACATATATATATTTTTGTAAACACGGTCGGACTTCACTCGAGTCGCAGAGACCTCATCCTACAGAGGAAAGCTTTCGGGATATTTTGTTGCCACAATTTTTTAGGCTCGTCGCCGTTGTGTTTTGTTTCCATTTTGACGACGACGACGGAAAATGTCGAATTTTAACGATGTGAACCGCAGTCCGCGTAGTCGTCCCGAAATGTTCTGTTCGTTGATGGCGGTCGCGGCGATCGTCGTGCTCGTCCATCAGCCCGCCGCCGTGTACTGCGCCGACGGCGGAACTTATCCTATTCAGCAACAGCAAAAGCAACCACAACCGCAGTCGAACATGTTCACAGCTCCATCGGGTTACTACATATCCACGTACGATAACGTAGACGTGGGCAGGTTGCTGCGGAACAAAATGTTTGTGTCGGGCTTCATCAAGTGTTTCGTCAACGAGGGACGTTGCTCGCCGGAAGGCCAACAAGTAAAAGGTACGACGAGACGCGGGTAGGGCGATAGAGCGTAGTGTTGCTGCAGTAACAATAACGCACCTGCAGCTGCGGTAATAATAACCCTGTGTAGGAGTTGCAGGGGATATAGAAAAAAAAAAAATAATAATAAATTTTCAAAATAATTGCGTAATAATATTGTGTGCTTGTTGAAGAATTATGCATCTAAAATAATTGTTTTCATTTCAAGAAAAAAAAAAACCATATCATAAAACAATGA